TTATCAAAAACCAATCTGTATCCTTCAAAACACAAGATGAAAGTGTCTTTGCTATAAGTGAATAATGACAGTACAAATACTGGTGAAAAAAAAAAGTTTCACTCCGCTGATTTCCAAATATGCATATTCAGATAGGAATAGACCTACATATATTTACAGCCAGATTGTGAGGTTTAAACTGCATATACATGTATATATATATATATATATATATATATATATATTCAAGTCTCCCGACATGCAAGGTAAATTAATAAAAATATTGTTGATTGAATGCATCTATGATTGATTGTGTTGGCTTTTTAAATTCATAATCCCTGGCAGATGGCCAAACTGATGACACCACAGCAACACCATTGGGATTTACCTTGACATTTGACAATGTCAACCAGAGGACAAGAACAAGTTTTCATTCAAGTGAGGGAAAAGCAAACAGACAGTTCAACTTGGTGCAATCGTATGGAGAGATCGACCGTGTTCCATGTTTCCATCTCAGTGATGAGCCTCCATCTTTGGAACAACTATCAAGTATTTGTGAAGATGTCTTTCTGCCCTCAACTAAAGATACTGAAATGCTACGGTAAAATATGTGTACCCGCTGCCTCCTCCCCCCCCCCCCCCCCATCTCTCTCTCTCTCTCTCTCTCTCGACACACACACACCATCACACACAAGAAGAAAAAAACACTTAGGTAATGCAAGTATTGCTTTAATCTTGAAAATCCTCTGATAAGGATTTTTTATTCTAACAAACATAATCCATGTACGATACATAATTCAGTGACATTCCAAATATCTCCTACATCTTTATTAGAATATAGATTTTCGATCATAACTTTTTTTATTTATGAAAGACACATCATTGAGTGACATCAATTATTATCTCCTAAGTCTCTATTGTCATAAACGCTTTCTCTGATAAGGATTTCTGATTCTAACATTATACATGTAAGATACATAATTAAGTGACATTCTAAACGTCTCCTTAGTCTTTACCGTCCTACCTGTTTCAAATGTGGTAATGCTATATCTTTTCCATAATGTCATCTCTAACATAATTTATTTCAGTTGATGTTTCCAAATTATTTTTTTTCTTCTAAACCTTACATGATACTTAATTTAAGTTGTGATTCTTGCTAATAACCTTCGAATATAACTTCACAGGTATGAATATGAAGTGATGATTGCCCGGATACTCTGCAACCACATTCCCTGCTTTCGGGATATGAGCATCACTGAGCACATCCCACATCCTTATCTCGCAGAGACAAAGAAGAAGAGTGTCATGGTAAATATACATTCTTATCAATGTACTTCAATTACTGTAGGTTTCAACATATTACCATTCAAACATTTTCAAAGATTTATGGACATTATGTCACAATTATATCACCTAAACTTGATATTACTTGTTCTTTTTCATCTTATGACTTATTGCTAACAAATATTTGAGAGCAGTAAAGTTTATACTCTTATTCATGTTACAGAAATAAGTTGCTTATGGTGTGGCAAGCAATGCAAGAAAGGAAACTTCAATATCAGAAGGTTGATAGGTATTCCATGAAGAAAAAAAAACATGATTAGTGTTAAGTGGATTGAGGATGTGTAATAGACTTTTGGTAGGCAAATGGATTCACTCTTTCGTTAACTGAATGTCTGTTGATGAGAAGTAAAGTCTTCTTTAAAAGTATATTTATTCTTTAAAGGGAAATCCAACCCTAATTGCAAGTTGTTCTGAAGGAAAGATGAAAAATCAAAGAAGCAGATAGGTGAAAGTTTGAGCAAAATCGGACAATGAATTTATGAAACTTGTAATTACTTTACATGAGGAAATTTGAAATTGGCGGAGTATGTAATGTCACTGTGATGTAGTATAGGGACAACTCCCCTATTTGCTCCATACAAGTGACACAAATCTCATTTTTTACAAAATGTTTTATTCAGAAGGATTTTCTTCTTTATGACATTTGTGACATTTATCTTAAACCTGCAGGTACCGTTAGGAGTGCTTGAAAAAGATGAGAGCAAAGTCTCCGATATGATAGATGTGTTGGACTATTTGCACAGATACGTTCCAGGAGATAAGTCACCAATCCCTGTGGTTCTGTATGGGGACCAGCTATCCTGTGAAAGAGTACGTGATGCCATGGGAGCTCGAATCAACGAGGATACACCATGGGATAGACTAAGTGGCTTACAACCAGCCATACAGGAGTGGCATAAGCGCCTTCTTATGTTAACGGTACCATTTCAGTTTAATTCCCATTTGTTTTTGCTTTTAAATGGTTAACTGCTTGACTTAACATAACTTAAATGGGACAAAATGAGACAAATTGATGTGTATTTTTTTTTGTGACAATACTGAATGGTAAAATCGGAAGGGTAAACAATAATAATAATGTTTAATTTGTATATAGCGCTTAATACAAATGTCTCTAAGCGCTTTACAAGGGTATAGCAAGCTTTATATATTTTGAAAGTATAGGCCTACATTACAGAATAATGTAAATATGATTTACACATAGGAGAGCACATGATATGTTGCCATGGTAGCAAAATATACAAACATATATATTTTTTTTACATTTCCCCTTTGTGTAAAATAATGCACACTTAATAATGTAGACCACTTGAATTTATTATGGGATTACTTTTGTAATAAGTGCCCATATTGTCTTAATTTGATACTAAGATAAGAAATAAACACCATTCCTAACTAGAGTTATGATGATGAATATATTGATGTGTGCAAAAATAGAACAAAATATTACATCAACCCATATAAGCACACATAATGTGTGTCCGCGCGTTCTTTTAGCAAGAAACATTACTGGAATTCAATCAACAGTTTTATTTATGAAAATATGTAATTTTGTATCCAGTTATATATCAAAGCATTTTTATGAACTTTAAACTGATACCAATTATGAAGGATGTAGGTATATGGCATAAAGCTGTCCCAAAGTGTCAAAAGAGGGGATACCCCACTTCCCAAAAGCACCAACAACAAAAAAACACATTTTAAGGGCAATTAATCTAACCTCGGTAATAAAATGATTTGTGTGGAAGCAGAAAAATAAGAAACAAGAATGGTGAAAGTTTGAAAGAAATCGGACTAAGAATAAGGAAGTTACGGATGTTTGAAAAGTGAGATCACTAAATCTATGCAAATTTCAAATTGGCAATTTGGTCAGTCGATTGAGACAAATGATATGGACAACTCTCTCATTTGTTGTGTACTTACATATCATTATGTTGTGGTTCTTCATCAGTGCCTATTCCCTCGGGGCAGTAATCAAAATCTATCATAGATAGTATATTGTTATAGGTCCTCATAAAGAAAAGAAAAAATCATTCTTTTAAATATGACATTTTAGTCATTTTGTGTATTGGAGCAAAATGCGGGAGTTAATTGTCCCTATATATTACATCCCTGTAATATTACCTTTTTGTTATATGTTATGTCTATACACATATTTTCCCATAACATATTAATAATTTTTGCATTTGTTATTTCTTTTTTACAGGACACTTACAAACTACTGTATGATGCAAAGAGTACAAAATCATGTGGGAGTATGTCCTTCATAAGATCCAGATACGGGCATACTAACGTTACACCGAAAATCTCCCAGTGTTTCAACTATGCTACAAGCCTCTTGAGGTTTGCAACAGAATCACATGTGGTCGCTGCAGCATGTGAATTTATGGGCATATCAAAGCCGAGTGACCATCCTAAAGACGTACCAGAAGATCCTGAGGCCAAGTCATCGTATTTTAGTGACACGTGTCAATTTGTACTGCAAATGTCTTTCCATCCTTACCAGATAATTCCTTCTACCAAGGGAGACAAGACGTCGTGGGAAGGGGAAGCTGCGGAGCATGTTGGAGATGAGTCTGACGACGAGGAGGACTCTGAGGATTCTGAGGAGGATGAAGGGCCTTTCTGCATATGCAAAGAAAAAAATGAAGATGTGGAAATGGTAATGTGTAACAACAAGAGCTGTGAAAGGGGGAAATGGTTCCATCTTGACTGCCTAAAACTGAAGCGATATAAGATTCCCAAAGGAAACTGGTTTTGCAGCAAGGAATGTAGCCAACGACACCAGAAGGATACAGGAAAACAAAAGAGACACAAGATTGGTGTAGACTCAAAATTTGAATATTCAAAAGCTTTGCTTCATCTAGGCCTTGGTGAAATGGTATGCTACGATGCTATAAGAGAAGGAGACGGTGATCGAATGATCCAACATTGGCTTCTAGATCTTCCCCACTTCTATGACAAACACCACTGGAAATACCTCATTGAAGCACACAGTCTTATCTGGGATGTTAATGGTGGAGTGTCGGAAAGGATAGCTCACCAGCTTAAGTGGAATAGGACAGTGAACATACATGGTGGTGAGGGGAAGAATCTAGGAAAGGACCTAGGCATGGAGTTCATGAACAAAGACTATAAAGAGTCAACAAAAGATGCGGCAGGAAATCTTACTGAGAGTGTCATATCACGCTACAGTCAAGTGGTTGGGGTGAAGAAACAATTAAATAGATTGTTCGATACTAAGGTGACAGGAAGAAAGACAGTTTTAAAGAAGCGTTCTGTCCAAGTCAGAGAATCTGATACTGCAAGTCTGGCTGAACTCCTGGTCAAAAACAAGTGCTTAGTTGAAATCCCTGGGAGATCGCATACAGGATTCGAAGACTTCGAGTTTGAACAAACATTGGATCTGGACAAGTACAAGGCCAAGATGTCGACCCTTAGTGAGAGAAGAATAAAACGAGTTGAATTAGCAAAATTAATGGAATAAACAACAAGTGAAACAGTGGTAGTGTAAAAGTCATCTATCATTATGCCAAAATCTGAATCTAATTTGAATAAGAACAAGGGGATAGCCATATTAAGAATATTTCCCTTCTTATCTTAATCATTTATTCTAGTTCTCTTTTACATAAAAAGGGGAACAGAGAATGGGCAATTCAGGGCATAATGATAAGAAAGAGCACAGTTTCAGATAATGGTTATGTGTTATTGTTGGAAATAGTCTTTCTTTTTCTATTTCGTCTATTAATATCATATAGTGTACAAACCTTAGCAAGTCTGGCCAGTACACATACATATTTATGTGCACATGTGCACCTCTTGTAGCAACTTGAACAACACATGCACAAAGAGCATGTACATGGTGCCTTCTCAGTGCAGTTCAACTTGTGGCAGACACGTTCCTTCTTCTCCAGGTCAGGTGTGCCAGGAATCTTGAAAATGCCCAAGATGGTGTCACGGGCACAGTTCTCTTCGTTTACCATCTCCTTCATGGTGCTATCATTGGTTTGATGGAGGGACCTCTTGTACGCATAGAGTATGGCCAGTCCTTTGTCAAGATTCCTGGCACACCTACCAACCTCCTGCCAGTATGAGAGGGCACTCTCAACCCCCCAGTTGACGACAATTTCAACATCTGGTACATCCACACCCAGACTCAGGGCAAGCGTGGTTACAATGACTCTGGTGCAGCTTGACCTGCTGCAAAAATCCGTGATAATCTTGTCTGACTTCTTCCCTGTTGTATGACTATGGTATTGTTCTACCAGCCTGTGTCTTGCAGGATAATGGCAGCCGCAGCAAGCACCCTTCGTCTCCTCTGCAATCCAGCAGTAGATCTTTTGACATGTGTTTACACTCTTCGTGTAAATGAGCATCTTGTTTGCATTAGCACCATTGTCAATGACCTCCTTGACCACCCAGGCCAGGTGCTGCTGGAACTTCTCTTTCACCCTCTCTATGTGAATGTAGATATCTGGCCTGAAAATTAATTAAGAATGAAAAGAAAAAAAACTTATATCGATGCTAATTAGGAATCCAAATTTGGATAAAGTCTTCATGCAAATTGTGTTTCCACACATCCCCCCAAATATATTTCCGGAGATATAGAACATCAACTGAAGTTTCTCGGAGTTGTTGAAGATGGGGGGGGGGGTGGGGGCAAAGCGAATGAGCAAAACACAGAGGCCTACTTGTTTTAGAAAATAAAATTGAATTACCGGTAGTAAATTACATAAATCTAGCTTTTGTTTCTTCATTTCCCCTTATCAGAACTGTTCTAGCGACCCTCCCCCTATTGGGGCAATTTCCAAGCAATTAAGGTTTATAGCTGAATTACTTCAACAAAGCTTAGTATATTTGTTTACATTTATCTTTCAAAATCAACAAGGATAAAGTTAACGTACATTGAATCTGTTTATTATTCACCTATAATGGTAACATCTTGGAAATAGGATCAATATCCATTAATGCATACACACCTATCTGGCAACTTTGAGATCACCTCATGATCGGGAGATAATGCCAATATGTTCTTGACATCAGAGAAATCTTGGAGGGTGGCTGTAGCTGTTAGGACTAGGGTAGGGATGTCATTAAAGATGGCCACAACATTGCATGCCCTTCTGTACGACGGTCGAAAGTTCAGGCCCCTGGAACAATGATATGACAGTGATAATAGTTATCATCGCACATTACTTTCTATTCATGTTTTTTGTGTGTTTTAAGTGTCGTATACATATCATGCAAACGATGTAAATAGAATAAATAAGACGTAGACTGCTTGCCTGTAATAAATTGATAATATGAAGAAACAGTCAGTAGAAACAGACTTTAATGTTTTACTTTGATACTATATTGATTCACAAATTTGTAAAACAGTTTTTAAAATTGTGCAACTCTGAGATTTGATGGGACCAGCTCGCTAGAAGTTATGAATTCATTAAATCACTTCAACTTTATACTACAACCAGTACTTATATTTCTATGCAGGTCGATATACCAAAATTCATGTGCATAACCTGTAATCATATTCTGTTCACAATTGTACAGACCTAAATATACATTTTAGGAACTTTTATTGTCACTGATGTTATAATTATGTTTTTTTATTCATGTAATTACCACTGGGATATGCAGTGACCCTCATCAAAACATATCAGGCATATCTTTCTTTGCAGCTGTTCTTTCAGCATCATCTGGACTTTCTTTGAGGTAATTGCTTCTGGTGAGGCCAAAATGACTTCATAGTGATTGGTTAGCAGTTCTGTTGAAAAGTAAATGAAAAGATTCATCCATCTGGGCCTGATGCATAAAAATTACCCTCAATGGAAACTACCATGTTAATAGTACTAAACAGCTAATCAGAATAAAGGTTCAATTTACCATCGATGGTAAAATTGCCATCAATTGTAAGTTTAATACCAGGTGCAGATCCAAGATTTCTTAAAGTCTTTCGAAAAGTCGCTCAGTGGGGGGGGGGGGGGGGGGGGGGGGGGAGCACATTTTTTTGGGGGGGGGAGGGTTCCTCGAAAATTTAAAAATTTGCACCCCCCCCCCCCCCTGAGCGTCAGGGGGGGGGGGGCGGGAGCCCCCGCCCCTCTGGATCCGCCACTGTAATGCAACAGGGGCCTGAAGTGTGTATATTATGGTTTCTTATCAATAAGTTAGGCCTACTCCCAAAAATTAAGTGTTGAAAAACGTCTGGAAAACTATTGATTTCGTTTTTAAACGTCATTGGCATTCTGAGTAATCATGGTAATGGAGTTTACTGAATGGAGAATGTTCTCATACATTTATATCTCTATATGTGTTATAAAGTGAATTATCAATGAAAAATTAATAAAAAGTAAATAACGGGAAAGTATATTCTTGTATAAAGAGGTGCATTTATTTTGATAATCAATACAGGTCAACCTTCCAAAATAATTTACAGAATGCAATATGCAATATTGGAGAAATAGAGGGGGGGAAATGGCAACAGTGGTGGGGGGGGGGGGGAGAGCTTATATCTACTGAGGGAAGTTGCGGAAAGGGGTCATATAGTCTCTCGTTTTCCTTTCTCCCTTTCCTTTTATCTCCTTTTATCATAGTTAGTTTGCTTCTCATTTCCTGCCCCTATAGATACACCACTTAAAGATACTATATCAATTTTGCAGCCAACATCAAATTCTGTAAAACTTTGCAGGAATTATGAATATGTCATGTATGTCAGCCCAAGTCCACTCAAAAATAACTTGCCTTTAATAGAACCGAAAAACATCAGACAAACCAATCAAAAAAAGTTTGAGCAAAATCGGATAACTAATACGAAAGTTATAAACTTTTGAAAAAGTATGTAAAACTAAAAAAACAATGGAAATCACTACACAAATTGCCAATTTGGTTTTCAGTTTGTGACGTCATATCCTCACTACTTATCAATTGCTTTATATAGTTTAATCCCATTATTTCCCTTTTTATCCCCCAAAACTTGATTTCCCCATGCCTTTGCCCAGGTTATATGATTTGTATCATATTGCGTGCATGACATTTCCCCAAATCTTTTATAAATTTTGAAGAATTGATACTATTTTTCTGAATATTATATTTCATAATTATTGATTTTTATACAAATAGTTCATCAAAAATCAAATTTTTGGTGATTTAACTGGAAACCAAATTACTCTATATTAGTGCATCCACACAAAAACATATTATTATCAATCTAACTTGGATGCTGGTGTGAAGAAATAAGATTCTTAGGGGGAAATAGGAAATATATATAATAAATATAAAGAAAATAATTAGTGAATAGTGAGGACCATACGTCACAGACTCACGAGTGGATTGGCAATTTGTGTAGTGATTTTCAAAGTTTTTCATGTCATTAAAAATTCATAACTTTCTTATTAGTTATCCGATTTTGCTCAAACTTTTTTGATTGGTTTGTCTGATTTTTCTGGTTCTATTGAAAGTAAGTTATTTTTGGAGTGGACTTGGGCTTTAAACGTTAGCAGTGTCCTAATATTCAAATTATGCAAGGAAACCGTTTACTTGCTAGACTGCACTGTCAGACACTATTGAGTGACTGACTGCCTTTTTCATCTTTGGTAATAACATACATAAAATGAGCTGTAAAGGGTACATGAGCATTTGTCTACATCAATAACCCACTAATTCTTGTAATGGCCAAAATTAAACTTATTGACTTTGCGCAGCATAAAATGTCAGTACGACCATTCAGTACAATGGTCTGAAAAATCAGACTAGTACTTACTGGCTCTATAGCTCGTAAGTCGATTTGACACCTAAGAGTCGTTATTTTTCCACTTAAAGACACTTACAAGCCCCCCTTTTTGTAGGGAAGTTCTAAATTAGTATTATCTTTCAAATGCCGTTGTAATTTAACCTATTCATTTTGGGGGCCTGCAAATGGGACATAGTACCTTTAAGGGCAAATTTACCTGCAAGATTAACCTCAGCTTCATCTTCTGTGATTGAGATGACGCGAATTCCTAACTCTTGCAATTTTCCTCTCTGGTTTCTCATTAGAGCCTTAAGGGGTGAAACCACCAAAGCGGTCTTGGGTTCTTTCTCAGTCTGTAGTCGGGATAGTTATTTCACAGGACGGAAAAGGGAAAAGGAGAGAATGATTGCATTATTAGTTGCATTCTAGCATTTCACAAATGACCCTTTTGAGGGTGTGATCTTAATGCAATACAATTTACACATTATTAAATTTATTTTAATTACATGATTACATAGTGTACAAAACAATAAAAGTAATAGAGTATCTTTATCTTGCTGGCTATAACTTGCACAAATTTCACGCACCGGTTTCAAAAACGATCCGAGGCCCTTCATTATACTCCCTATGTTTGTTGTTGTTTTTGACATGATTGAATTAATCATACTCATATGAGCACCTTCCGGGCACCTTGACAACCCAAAAAATGGAATGATAAGCTATAGGCCTACATCATTACAACAAAAAAAACAGTTTATAAACTACAGCGACAGAAGATCTATAGGCCTATAAGTCTACATACAGTTTGACAAAATGGGTGTTTTGTTGCTGTTACTCATCTAAGGGTATGGACACAACTGAAAGTGACATGTTTTAAACGCCTTATATTTGATACAGTGGAACTATAAAGGTGTCACCTTCAATAACCATTTTGATGTAAAGAATCTGTTGTTTTTATTTAAAATGTCAAAATTGAAAAAAAAGCATTCCCATAAATATTGGTCACAAAATTTACGTTTAAACAAAGCCTCAAGTCTCAATGAAACAATGTACATTGCAGGCGCGGATCCAGGATTTCTTAGGGGGGGAGGCCCAAATTTGAAATTATGCGAGCCAAATATTGGTACGTAATGGTGACCAGCAGTGACGTAATGCGGGAGGGGGTGGGTGCAGGGAGGGGTGAGTTCCCACCTCCCTCTTGACGTTTCATTGAATTATTAGAGAAAGAAGACGTTTCGTTATACCGTTTTCGAAAATAATCCTCGTCTAAATTCAGTTTTTCCCCGCCCGCGCAAAGCGCGGAAGCTTTTACGATTCATTAAACCATTAGAGAAAAAAAGACGATTCGTCGTACAGTTCTCGACTCTAAATCCTCGTCTGAATTCAGGTTCCCCCCCCCCTCCCGCGCAAAGCGCGGAAGCTTTTACGATTCATTAAACCATTAGAGAAAAAATACGATTCGTCGTACAGTTCTCGTCTCTAAATTCTCGTCTGAATTCAGGCTCCCCCTCCCGCGCGAAGCGCTGAAGCTTTTAAGTTTTAAAAATTATTAGAGAAAGAAGACGATTCGTTGTACCGTTCTCGAAAATAATTCTCGTCTGAATTCAGTTTTTCCCCTATTGCGCAAAGCGCGGAATTTTTGACGTTTCATAAGATTGTGAGAGAAAGAAGACGATTCGCTGTACCGTTCTCGACTCTTAATCCTTGTCTGAATTCAGTTCCCCCTCCCCTCCCTCCTGCGCGAAGCGCGGAAGCTTTGACGTTTTATTAAATCATTAGAGAAAGAAGACGATGCGTTGTACCGTTCTCTACTCTTAATCCTTGTCTGAATTTCAAAGATGTTCTTTGTCTGCTCCTTTTTATTCCTACGTCCTCTTTCTTTTCTCTCCTCTCTTTTTTTTATTTTGACGGCGATTTTCGGGGACCGCCCCCACCCCCCAGCCCCCCCCCCCCCCCTGGCTACGCGCCTGCGGTCAGATAAACACATTTCGATAACTTGTCCGACCCCAGAAGCTCAGGGGTTAAAGGCAATAAATTACGGTCAGATAAGCATTCAGGGGCCCGCCTTATAGGGCCCCTGGTGGGGTCGAGGCGGTGGAGCCCCCGGAGGCTCAGGGGTTTTAGACATTAAATTACCGTCAGATGAGAATCTAAAGGGCCCTAGGTGGAATCCAGGGGCCAGTAGAGCCCCCCCCCCCCGGAAGCTTGGGGGCTTTAGGTATTTAATCACAATCAGATGAGCATATTTTTATGCCTCATTATTTTGTTGACATTGGCAGTTAAACTTTTTTCTTTCTTGCTCTCTTTCTTTTTTTATTTTTCTTTAATATACCTTTTCAAAAAAGTGGGGGTGGGGGGCTCGAGGCTCTCGATCCCCGACGTCCTCGGGCCCTGACATGTAGGGATCTCAAGAATCACATATCTTGCTGGCTGTAAATTTAGGAATTTGTCACATAAAAA